GTCAACCGGAGGCAGCACCTGCAACCAGCAGCAGTCTATCTGTCCGTCTCCCTTGTGGCCTTGTGCTACCGCCATCACCTTGCCCGCTCCCACACTCGTTTATTATGCGTAGCTCGGAGAAAGTTTGCAAAGTAATAACGCCACAAAAGTTCAACTTCAATTGAAATAAATTAATTTCAACATTCGGACTGACAGTGCCAACTAACTGACAATTACACACACTTCCAGGGCCACTGGGGGAGGTGGGGCCAGGAGCCTGAATGAGATGGCAGAGATATGAGTGAAAGAGATGGCGGGGCGGATGCACACTCAGCGTGCCGCCCGTCGCATAAAATAGTTGAATAACTTTTTTTTCGGTTGGCTTTTCGACTCCTGCCCCTGACTTGCCAGTGCTCTATATCTTTTGTTGTAAATGTAAAATAATAACGACAAAATTGCACTTTCAACTTTTTGACTTTTCACATGCCGATGTCGCTGCCGCCGTCGCTGTAGCTGCCTGCTATTTCTGCCTTTGGTGGGTGCTTTGTACTTCTGGCATTGTCTGGCCGAGAAAGTTGAATTAATCGACCCATCCACCCGACGGCAGAGCTCCATCCATTTCGCATTCGCATTCGCGTTGCAACCTTCTACCCCATGCCCATGAGGAAACCCACGAGGAGAACTGCAGTCAGACGCATACTTCCGACATAGTTTGGCTGCCTCGACGACTGTTTCATCTTGATTGATTACATATTTTACAAGTTATTGCACACGGAACGGGTGTGGGTTCTCCTGCAGGATACTGCTACAGGATACAGGATACAGACAGGAAGTGTTGGAATGAACTATGCCAAAAGGGTGAGAAACGTACACGTATTTATTAGATTTATGGCTTGGCTTTCATGTCTGCTGATGTTCAGTTCTGTTCAGTTGAGTTTCCTTCGTTTTGGTTTGGTTCAGTTATAATGGATTCTGCCAAGTGTATTCACACAACTTTTAATGTATTGGAATTTCTTTGTGTCTCTGTCTCTCTCTCACTCTTACTCTTCCACTTTCTCCCAATTTATCCTGGCTCGGGCGAGGGCGTGTTGAAATGCGCCAACATCGCATCCGTCGCACACCCGAAGGTACTAAAAAAAGTAAAACTCATGTCGAAAGCGGTAAGCTGTGGCAATTGACTGAAACTGCCGGTTTAAATTAGAAAAGTTTGCACAATGTAAGTGTACAACTCCCCCTTGCCACCATATCCTTGCCCACTCATCACACAGATACACTCTCACACACTCGCACACACACATGGAGGAGAGGCAATGGCAGAACATCCGAGCGTGTTAATTTAATGGAAAAAACGATGCCAGGACACAGCATTTGCCATTGATGGGCTCTCGAATGAAAAAGATGTCTGCGCCTGGTCAGGAATTTGTCATAGAACGAGGAGAGGATGATATCTCTGCCAGTGTGGGGGGAGGGAGTACTCCCCATCAAAGTTTACATCTAATTTACCTAGAAGAATTTTTTTCTTTTTATTTTTTGGGTCATGCCAACAATACAATACAACTCCTGTCAAAATAAACATGCCACACATGATTTCAAATGGATTAAATCAGTTAAATGGAGCACATTGGAAAAGAAAAAGATTATGTTTTCTTTTTGGTTTTCGGTTTGTTTGGTTTTTGTATACCTGCGAGGACGAGATATCCTTTCATATACATAGTTAGCAACGGTATTATTCTGCGAAAAAGTAAGTTAATCTAAGCAACGCCAGTATATATGCATATAAGCCACTTATAGCTTATATTTAAACAACCAGTTCGTGTACGCACCTCAGCTGAATATTAAAGGATTTACCCAACTCAACGTTCTCGGGATATTCTGCAACACACACGCGCTCTCCAAAAGGACTAAAGTCGGAGATTCATGCGGGTGCCTTCGCATTTCTTTTGTTCCGAACAAACAGCCATAAATCCTAGCCAAGTTCAAACTATATCTGCTGCCCTGGGCCCCCGGTCCGGGCCTGGGCCTGGCCATGTCCTGGCCCATTCTGGAAATTCATTTTTTTATGGCGCACTTATATGGGACAGGACAGCGTAGCCCGAAAATCCATTTCACTTATTCTCATGCACTTTTATGGCCCTAGTCCGCCAACAATTTTGCACATTAAAAGCGAACTTTTTTACATGACATATGTATGCCACACTAACCCCCCTACAACCGCCACTCATCCCCTCGCACCCTAAAAAATATAACTAACACAAATATACATTTCATATTCATGGTGTGGAGCAGCGCTTAAAAAGCGAAGAAATTAACTCCATCTAAGGCTGGAGGAGGATGGGCTGGAGTGCCTCAATGTGACATGTGTAGAAAGGACGAAAAGGCGAGGGGGCAGCTGGAGAAGTAGAGGCCTACTTAGCACCCTTCACTCCACCGTCCATCCCAAAGGATGTCCCCTTTTCTCCAGCTGGCCCACTATTTTCTGCTTAGTCGGCTCATCTGCATTTTATGGTCCAAAAATATCATCATTTTTTCGCATTTCATTATGGCGCTGTATGCGTGTGTGAGTGCCAGTGCACTGGGAGAAAAATATTAATAAATAGGAATATTTTTACTATATATATATGAAAGTTTAAATGATAAAAGCTAAGATATAGGGCTTGCTGTAAGTGTCTACCTTGAAGTGAAATATCGGCCTACATTTATATTTTAAATCTTTTCGGATAAGTTTTGAAATATAAAAATTTTTAATTTACGGAGAAAATAGCGCTTATATAACGCTTTATTATTTAAGTTTTATTTTTATTTTTAGGCTTTATTTTTTTAATATTTGTAAAATTTATAGCTACAAACTCCCATAAGAACTTCCTCAGAAATACCTTAACATAGAAGTAGCATCCTTATTTCTCTAAGTGACAATCTTTGTGTGTGTTGGTGTGTATTTCTGCGAAAACTTAGCAGCGTCATTTAGTATGCTTCATTTCATTATATATCTACATGCCCACTTCCCTCCACTTTACAAAATCCCCCAACTGCCCATTCCCATGTCTACGCTCCTTTTTTTAAAACTCTTAACTTTCGCTGCAACCGCAAGCATTTTGGGCCGCATTTTGTGGGCAATCCTTCCTACTGAGCCAGGTCCTCCATTCATTTTTTTTTTTTTTTGTATTTTTGTCGTTGTTGTTAGTCCTGGTCGTCCTTCGTGCCCGGCAAACGGTGCGAGAAATTGTCCTCCCTATCTCTTGATACCCCAGTCCCGTTTTTTGTGCCTCATCCTACCATTTCCCATTTTTTGTTGCTTTTGATGTCGCCTGCAATTTTTCTACAGCTTCTTCTTCTTCGTTGTCGTCGTCGTCCTTTTTTTTTTTTTGTACTGCGTAGGAAAACTCCTTTGGGTGTCCCTGCCATTTGCCTCGCACTAAGCCTCACATTCCCTCTCTCTTTCACAGCCCCAACACCCCACACTTGCTGTCTCGCTCTGTCAGTCATTTTTTCCTCGTAATTTTCATAAGCAGCCGTTAGACGTTGGATTTATGTTTTTAAACGCCTTTTAATATGCGAGAGGATATTCGCGCGTAACTGCAGATCCCCAGCAAAACGCAAAGCCACTCGCAAATGCCGCATAGCCAGAGTCCTAGTATCCTTAGTGCCCCTCCTCCACCTACCATCTCTCATCTTGCTCCACCACTTCCGTATCCAACACTCCCCCATGTATCCTTGGCTGAGCCTCTCTTTCGGCTCCTTCCATTCCTTGCGGCTGTGTCTACTTCTTGGTTATGCCGCGCAAATCCAGTGAGAATGCGTTTAAAAAAATATTATAATAATAACATTACGTAAATAATTGTTGGCTGCTGTTTCGGTGGGGGTTTTTGGTAGGTGGGGCAGGGGGCGAGCAGGATGGCTGGCTTTTTGGGGGAGTGGGTGTGGCAGGGGCAGGAGCAGGAGCTGGGGGCATTCACCAAGGGTGCGAGGCACGCGCCTCTGAAATAGCAACGGAAATCAGCTGCGTGTTGATAAGCACGCATAGCTCCAAGGAACGTTTAAGGAAAGGGCTTCTCCCTTAGCCGAAGGAAGGCAGAAGGACTTTGCTTCCTTGTCCTGGCCAACTGTGCCGGTATGTGTGTTCCACAGGGTCCTTGTATGAATAAATGAGTGTGCCAGTGTGTGTGTGTGCCTGTGCGTAACATTTGCGTGCGTATTTTGGTATGTTTTGCGGTTTGTCGCTCAACCGATTCAAAGTCATTGAAAAGGCGAATGATTTTATATACTTTAAGGTAATTCTTTTAATTTTTATACAATGAGATTTCAAGAGATTTATTATTTGAAGGATTTTAAAGATTTTTTTCAGAAAAAAAAGGATTTTTTCATTATAGGTTTCAAAGGTTTCCCACAAACTTACCAGAATTATAATCTTGTTTATATGATAGTTTACTAATATTATTTTTATTAAATCTCTCATTTATTTTACTTAACTTTTATATGATTTTATAGAACCTCAAAACCCTTGCCTTATAGATAGAGTATCTTCCTAAAAAGAGCCCAAAACATGGGCCCATTTGTAACGCACTGTCTAACCGGTGGCAGAAGTGGCAGCAAAATGTGCGTGTGGCAAGTATAGAAGGAGATGGAGTTTGGCAAAAAAAGAAATAACACCAGATAGCTGTAGACAGTAGCGGCTTTTAGTTTTTTTTGGTGAAATTTTGTTGTCATCATCCCTTTAAGAAAACTGGCATTGAGGTGGTTGCTTTTTTGGTGGGTTTGTCCTGGGATGGAGGCGGGAAAAAGCCAAAAGCAACCGACAACCGAGCCTGTCAGACACAAAGTTATCTTCGCTTCGTCTTGGCAGCTTTTGGTGTTGGTGTTGTCATCTTCCGTTTTTAATTTCATCTGCCATTTACTGCTACTTATGACACATCCTTTTTCCCAGACCCCCACTCCTTACACTCGCCACGAAAATTTGTTGGCCATTTTTTTTGGGGGTTTTTCTGTCGTTTTTCTGTATTTTTGTGATTGGAAGTGGTACTTACCTTGGGATGTGCACGGCGCGGAAAAGCTACTTTCGGATCGACCTGCGGGCGAAAAAAAGAAGGAAAAAAATGGAAAACCAGAAAGAATTATATATAGAGAGGGAATCCCGAAAGAAATCGTATGCTTAATGACATTTAAATGAAAAGAACATTTCGCGCAACTCTTCATATTAATAGCCGTGCATAAATCTTGCATAAGCCTGCACTGCACATTAAATGAAATTGCCCCAAAGGGGGATGGGTGTTGGGTTGTGCTATGGGTGGTATGGGATGGTGGGTGGCATGGTGGTGTGATGTTGCTGTCTGCCACTGCTGGTGGGTGACTTCAAGCTGAGCACGCACGAATTAACGCGTAACAAATTGCTCGACCAGCGGGGAGATGGGGCAAAAAAAAAAAGTAAAATAAAATAAAAAAAAAAGAAAGCAAAAGCGAGAAAAAGCGAAACAGCGAAATGGGAAGCTCCTACCCAATAAGCAGCGTCATTAAAAATAATTAAAAATCATAAAAATTCAATTTTAAGCATTTTTTGCCGTCTGGCTTGTCGACTCGTCTTTCCGCCCTCTGTGGCTTTCATATTAGTGCAAGTAGACAGCTCGTCCTGACAGCTGGAATAAAAAATCAGGATAAGCGGATGGTGCCGGCAAGGACTAAATCTTGACTGAAGTGCTGCTGTTGCATTTATCCTGTTGGCGTGTTGGTTGCTTCTTGGGTATCTTAAGCCAATCAAGTAGCAGCTGCAAAATGGTTGGGGGGTAGAGGCTCAAGGAAGCAACGCAATATCCTCTGGCGATAATAATTCAAGCACACACACACATACAGTAGCAGAGACAGGAGGCATGGGGGCGCGCACAAAATCTGTCACAGGATAGGCAGGACATGCGGCTTGTTGTGTGCTGTTTGCCGTGTTGATTTCCTGTGTGCAGGACGAAAAACAAGAGAAGCCGATTCGGCAGCACCAGCCACTGCCGCATGGCGGGAAATTGATTTTTAGATTAAAATTAAAACTAATCAGTGCTGAGTGCCAAGCCGGGATAGAGGGGGCGGGGGACAGGCCAGTGTTTCTGGCTTTTTGAAATACATCAGGCCGAAAAAGCCGTAACGAAATGAAATGAATTCACCATAAATGGCGCCCGAGCAGGAATTGAATTCATTTCGTTTGGTTTGGTTTCGTTTCAGCTGTTCGTAGCTGTTCAGCGAAACGGAAACACGAAAATCCATGACCAGCAGCAAGTCAGGAAGACGAAATATATATATATATACTCGATATAGTATGGGTTATATAGATATAAACATTACACGTAAATACAAATATAAATGCAGTTGGGTAACAAACAGCACAAAAAATTACACATTAAATGCTGGCTGCGCATTTTATTTACAGATGGCAGGCATAAAAGGATGATCGGATGGACGGAATCGGATGGAAATTCTATAGACCGATAAACAGAGGGGCTTCACTTAATTAGGCTAATACCAACGGTGCGTATGCGTAATGTCTGTTGAATATATTGCACAGGATGCTCTACTGTAGGAAATGCGATTACAATCTGCAGGAATTGCGGAAGGAAAACAGGTAAATGGAAAAAGTTTCTCTCATGATTTTCGACGGCTGCTGTTATAGCCAAAATTTTTATCCAATCAACCAAATTCTCTTCATCACATGAGCTAATTAAAATTGTTTGAATTTTTTTCACAGGCCTCTGTGTGTTGCGACTTTTTTTGGGAAGCTTTTTAGCCAAGCCAGATGCCATTATGCTTTGACTTTCTAATTGCTGTCAATAGGGAGAAAGGGTAGGGTCATAGAGCCAATTTATGTTGATGGGCCCGAGCTTTTGTGCAAATATTTTGCATAGTTAAAGCGAAGTTTTCTGTTTGTAATATGTCGGGATGTCGAGGATGATGTCGAGGTTGGAGGGAAAAAAATGAGAAGCAAAGAACTACAGAAAAAAAAACGAAAATATAAAGTTAAAGAGATGGGCTTGAGTGTAACATTTACCTTTTTGCCATCCAGCTCGTGTGTGCCTTGGGTGAGTACCTTATCTACGCTATTTGGATCGCTGAATGTGACAAAGCCGAAGCCTCTGCAAGTAGATTTGGAAGGAGATGTAAACAGGAGACGGTTAGCGAGAAGTTGAGCAAATATTTACACAAGCAAGGAGCCAAGTAACTGAACCTGAACCCAGCAACCAAAACTGAAACTCAAACTCAAACCCCCAGAGCTCCAAGCTGGCGCCCAAGCCCCCGACCAAGCCCCAGACCAAGCCCGGAAAATCCAAAACTGCCGCGTTGAGTTCAGTTGAACCTGCCATCGTCAGTTTAGCACGTGCGCCAATTAGGCGCTCAAATTACATCAAAATATTGCCAGAGACAGAGACAGTGGCAAGGTAGAGAGGTAGAGCGGTAGAACGAGATGGTATGAGAGGTCCTGGCGCAAATGAGCAGTCTCCATACCCATCTGAACTTGCCCCTTTTTCGAACAGTTCGAAGCCGCTAACGGCAGACGCTTACAAGCCATTACACTCGCCCCCTCTCTTTCTCTACTGGATATTGCCATCTCTTTCCCGGGCGGGCTCTCTGTTTCTTTCGTTCGTGTTGTGATAAACTTATTCTTGTTAAATATTTAATTAAAATGCTTATTATCTCGCACTGCATTTTAATGAGTCTCCCAACGAAAAACGAGAAACAAGGCACAGACACTGCCAGCCAAAGACAACAAACCAGCTCAGAGATTTTGGCTGTGGCTCTGGTCTCCTGCCACGCCTTCTCGTCCTGGTCCTCCTCCTCCATCGCATCCTTTGGTTGTCTGAAGCTGTATGTGTGTGCACGTTTATGTTTATTTGAGTTTTGCCACTTGGCAGCAACGCTTAACGATGCTTCGCCTCCTGGCAGAGCTCGCAACTTCTTTCCCAGACACATGCTCGTATTTGTCTTGCTCTTTTAAGCCCACCACTGGCACAGCACCAGCCAGGATCACCCTTCACCAAACCCAAGCCAACCCCAACCCACCCCACTCAATCTGAACCCCAACAAGAACCGCAAGCACAGACAGTAATTAACGACGATTCTATTGCAATTGTGGCAATTGTTACGGTTCTGATTCTGATTCTCATTCGGATGCGGATACTGATTCGGATACAGGCTCAGGCTGGGCTATTGCCAGGCTCAGTTAACTTGGTTAAAATAGAACGTCAACCAAACAATGCATTAAAGATGTTCAAGTTTTGGTTTAATTTCTACAATATGGATACAAAAAAGCCTTAAAATAATTACTATAATTAACGCCCTCATAAATGTACTTCATAGCCTCGAGGAACTCTATTTATGAATGGTTGTAAATCACAATGAAATTCAATTGTTCAACATTTTCTAGAGAATAATCATTTCAAATTCTGGCCGGACACAAATAATGCATTCGTATTTTAGAAACTGTCAGTAATTGGAATTGCAATGGCAACTTCTACGCAAAATTATCCAAATTCAACCTCATTTGACATACACATTAATTGTGTGCACTTTTCCGTACAATTTACCTGTCAGTCGATTCGCATATTTAATTGAAAGTTAAACACTGAAGGCTTATTATTATTTCAACTAAGTTTTATTAAAAAAAAATACTAATTGTGAAGCTTTTATATCAGAGACTATCTTTGTAAAATGTTAGCAATACCCGATATTTTTGAAAATTTCCATTTGACATTCTTCAGTTCAATTGTATTGTATCTGGGGGTTATCGGGGTTTTGTGTTACCCAAATTGCTATTCAACAATTGCAAAGGATGGCAACAAACAAGGCTTAAACTACAATTGCTTGTTGCAAATTTATAAAAACAATTTGCATATGGAAAAGGATTTTAGCAGGCATTTGCCTTTGATTTTCTTTGGGGTTTTCTCGAACGAAAACCAAAGTGAACCAAACCGAAAACCCGACCAATCTACGTGCTGGCTATGGAAAAATCATTATTTGCTGTTGGTATTGGCTTTCTGGATTCTTGTACAGCTGGCACGGTCTGGTACATATTAAATAAACATTTTATCGTATTTATAGACGAACAATTTGTGCAATGTGCAATTTGCGAAAAAGAGGCCTGCACCTATTAATATTGATTTAAATGGGTGATTTAGTGGGTGGCGAAAAGGGTTATCGGCGAGAGGCAACCGATGTGCCGTAGTGCCATAGTCCGTGCCGTAGGCGTAACTTCAATCCAATGTTCAAGTGGGTCACACAAAATTGCAAAATGTTCAAGGCAAGGGTGAGAAGAAAGAGGTGGGTGGTTGGAAAGAAAATGGTAGTGAGAGAGAGAAAGTGCCACAATGTTGAGGACAGAGATTGTTGCAATTTCTCTACCGTTGTCCTACCTAGGGTATGCAGAGAGGGGGTGCCCCACCAGGGGGAATGGGGGGGCAACTCAAAGTGAAAAGCCACAAATTTAAAAGGCAAAACTCAAAAATAATGTGTCTCCTGTGTGCAATTTACTCACAAATTCAGATTCAATTTATGCAACTCGGGGCCAGACAAGGATCCCCACGAAAGACAGAGACAGATGGCTGGGGAGCACGAAAGAGAAAGAAATAGCAGAGCAGAGCGCTCAGGATAACAACAGAATGTGTGCAACAATACATAAAACAACACACATACAGAGAGAAAAGTTATGTTTAAGTTACTTTTTAGTAAATTTTAAGAAATAAAAAAAATGTAAATATAATTTTAAACATTATAGTTTTTTATAGAGTTTTTTTTTTTTAATTATAATATATTAATTTCTCTCACTGCACTTGTAGACATAGGAAGAGAAACTAAACAACAACAAGGGCAGCAGCAAAGACATGCAGCCTCTGACAAGAAAGGGGGGAGGCCAATGGGCCGATGGGTGGTGTTCTGTGGGCCACCCCACCCCCTTCCTGAGAACATGCAACTTGGGTTGCTTGTTGAATTTTATAAAGCCGTTTCAGAATGCTAATGAGCGCACGCACACAAGCTGCCAGCAACAGCAGCAGCAGCCGCCCAAGGATGAGAAGATTCTGCTGCCCCTCTGCCTCCCTCAATGTGTAAAAAAAGGGTGAGCTGCGACAGGTGAGCAAAGACTGAGGGGGGCGTGGCAATCATGTAAGACACACAAACACCGCAGACACGTACCAAACATGGCCAGAAAGGAGTGGGCCAGCAGGTGGCTAGCAAACGAGTAGTAGTCTGTAGTATCTGAAAGCAAAATAAAAGTGTTATTTGAATTGGCATGGCAGAGCTTGAGAAACTTTTGCTTCCAAAGATCCTGCATCCTGACTCCTACCTATCCTACCTCATGCCACCTGCCTTCTACCTCATGCCTCCTAAGCTTACGCACAATTTAGCAAAACAACTTGCATGTATTTAGCCCGCAGATACTCATATATACATAATACCTGGATATAGTTTACCAAAAGGGCAGAAAACTGAAGGGGAGAATCGTAGGGCAGGTTAGGGGAAAAGCTAGCTAGCTAGCTGGGCAACTGAGAGTGTCTGCAGTTAAGTTGGCGGTTGGCTTGTGGCTGGCATCTTGGATTACCGTAAATAATCTAACTAAATGAGTTACCAAAACGGTCAAAGTTCACATCAAGGTGTTGCCTTCTGTGTGTGTGTTTGTTCGTAATGGAAGCAGATAACAATATTAGAAGTCCCAGCATATGTCCAGTGATCAGGTTGATGATGATATTCCTTCCTTACACCCTCCGGGCAATTGCCGAAACTGTAACCAAAAGCTCATTTTACAGGCAAAAGGATACTGGATACTGGTTTCTGGTTACTGGAGTTGGAAAGTAAATATGTGTGTCTAGTGAGGATATGCAGGGCAAAGATTACTTCAAATTGAGTATGGTTTAGGTGAAGTAAATGGGAATATTTTCCAGATACCTTAATAGCTTTCTCACACGCCCCAAACATTTAATTATAAGGTAGAACTATAATCTGAATTAGGATGCTTTTTAGAAAATCCTTTCTCCTTGTGCACTATTTTACATTCATAGGCATCTAAGGCCCTGGATCACCTGCAGAAGAAGAAGCTGTGAGAATATCTTACGCCCATTTTCTTATATCTCTTAATTGCCTCAACCTCAACTGACCTCAGTGCCAGACAGAATGACAAACTACTGGTGAATGGCTCTTGAAGCCAGCGGAAGTAAGAAAACAATTGTCTCTGTGTCTCCGGCGTCCTCCGGTGGCTCCTTTGACCCCATCTACGATTCAGTTTCCTTTCCGTATTGTTTAATATAGTACAAGTTGCAGTCAAGGCTGTAAATGGAAGCTAACATTATACTGTCTATGCAAAAAAGCAACGAAGCCGCAAGGCATGCCCTCAACCTTACAAAACCGACGGGGGGATCGTGATGGTTTCGGCTCAACAAAAGTACTACTAGCTGACGGCTAACAAAACTTTCAATCCGAAACGGAAAAGGGGCAAAGGATATACCAGGAGGTAGGCAACGCATATTCAAATGACTTTTTCGTGTAAAAATTTCGAAACAAGAAAACAAAAGCGCCCCCGAACGAACAATTGCAAAGAAGGAATGCAACTTAAGACGACAGTGGAGTGCCCAGGACGAGGTTGAGTATTGAGGGTGGATGGATGGAGGCTAAGGAGGCGTGGCAGGAGATGAAGAGGCCTGAGTCTGAGACTGCGACTGAGACTGAGACTGAGGCTGAAGCTAAGAGAGCCTGCCTGGCACTTCTAAGTCCCGGCTACAGCGAAACGTCAAATCCCGAGCGCACTAACAAGCACTTGCCGGCGGACCAAGACTTTGTGCCTTTGTGGAGGTTTTTGTGGACAATGATAAGGGGTATGTTTATAAAAATACCCTAGAAATAAAATCAGTCTTTTAAACTACTTAAAATAAAAGTTTAAAAAAGGTCTTCTATTATTAATAATTGAAAATAAGTAATGATTATTTGAAATGAAAGTATTGGATCTTAATTTCCTTAATATCCTTCCACAGAATAGTCTATTCGATCATTGGAAAATCTAGAGAGCTGCTGGAGAAAGCGCTTTCTTTCTTATTTCTACGCCCAGACCCTTTCCCCCCCCTTTTTCAAAATATATACCCGCCGTCCCTGG